CTGAGTTGCCTCTATCTGGGCTCTCAAAAGGACCTGCGCCCTCCCTGCCGCTTCACCTCCAAGTCCCGTTCCATCCTTCCTCCTTTGGAACTCCCTCAACACCCAACACACATTCCTTCTCAACCCCTCCCCCTGGCTTTCAGTCTTTGGAAGTCTGTGTCCTGACCAAGAGGTGGGAACACTCCAGAAAGCTCCTCCCTCTGCGCCCCTTCCCCCTCCCCGAAACCCGGAGACTGAGGGCACCATCCAGAACCAGTTTCTCCAGCCATGTCAACGGCCAATACAGTGCAAGGTGCAGGACCAAGAGAAAATACTTGGTGGCAAGTTTTGAGTTGTGTCCTTATCCTTCCTTGATTGTGGTCCCTGCCTCCTCTGCCTCCTTCCCGAATGCCTCATGGTGGTTCATGCCCCTACCCCAACTCAGGACAGGTGGCCTCAGTCCCCTCCTCTCAGGGAGGAAAGGGGGAATTTCTGTTGCATCTGGAGACTAGGGCCAATCCTGCCCAGAAACCAAAAGAATGGGTTTGCAATGGAGATTTTCAGAGACACACCACAAGGTGTTTCACAGTGTGGCAGGGGACCTCCTTTCACTGGCCCCATCATCTCCTGGAAAGCACTCCCTACGGCTTAAGTTCCAACCGAGGACCCGGGTAGCACACGGACTCCACAGAGAGAAGGACCAAGCTATCGCCAGTGAGCCAGCGAGGCACAGCTGGCCAGATTCCGAGAAGCACAGACCACTGAAGAAGTCTTGTTTTTTTGTTTTTGTTTTTTTTAAACTGTGCTTTATTTAGGGCTAAGCTGGAGAAAGCGTCATCCAATAGTTACAGAAGGTTACAAGGAGTTTTAGGGAGTTGAGTGTGAAAAGAGCAGTTGTACTGAACTGCGGCTGTTTTTTTTTTTTTTTTTTACAACATCTGGACATCCTAAAAGGAGGAGCCAAGAGAAAGAAAAAGAAAATTTTAAAAAATAATAATTAACCAACGAAATAGAAAGGAAAGGGAGGAGGCCTAAGAGGAACCAGACAGTTGTTCGTCTAAAGCAAAAAAAAAAAAAAAAAAAGGGAGGGGGTTGGTAGGTCCGAGAGCCCCCTAGCCTCCAAATGACCCGGACATCAATGAGAGGAGGGTATCAAGGCAGAATGCCAAAGCAAGTTTTCCCAACGGTGCAAATAAATTATAATAAATATGTTATACTTTAAAATATATGTGTTCTTAAATAATTCAGTGTTTTTTTCTGATTCTGAGATTTTTTAAGCAATGTCTTTTTAACTGCTCTAAAGTCATTTACCAAAGATAAATATCGTGCTTTCATTAAATAGTTTTCCTTGTTTTTTTTCTCTATCATTACAATTAAAAGTCCTACAAAATATGCAAATTTATTTACAGAAAAACAGAGCCGGCATCATTTAAACATCCCTGTTTTTCAAAATTCCTTGTAAACAGTTTCAGAAATTCTTCAAAGATTGTTTATTTTTCTCTCTCTTGTTTAAGGTTTTTGTGTGTGTGTGTGTTGTTTAGTTGTTTTACGATGAATTTCCCAGGTCTCCCTTGCCCGGAAAGTCTCTGGAGCAAGCATGGAAGGCGAGTGAAGCGGCAGGTGTCGAGGGCTTGCGGAGAGCAGGCGAGCGCGCGCAGCTCCGGAGCGAAGCAGGCGAGGGCGGGCGGCGGGCCTTCCAGCGACGGCGCGGCCACCACCGGCGCGGTGAGCGGCCGGGAGCCCGCAGGTCTCGGCGAGTCCGGCCAGGCCCTCGGGGTGCACGGCGTCCGACAGCACTCGCGGGGAGAAGGGATCGATGCTCAGTCTAAACTCTACAAAAGTACAGTCCTACAACATCTGGGATTTTAGCAGTAACGCTAACTTCTATAGTTTTTTTTTTTCCTTTTTTTTTTATTTTTTGCTTTCCTCTAATTTTTCTTCTATTATATAGGTATTTTAAACTTCTCCTTTTTTAAAATTCTGTACAACTATTATGATTTTAAGAGGGGGAAGAGTTAGAAGCATTTACAGACTTTTCACAACAATTATCTTGCCTTGTAAGTCCCTTTTATCCCCTCCTTGTTTTCTCACACTTCACGGTTAATGAGTTTTAATATTTTTGTTGCTTTCCCCAAATATCCACCAATTTGTTCATCTTAACAGCTCCATCCAGACATATAATACAGAAAACCATAGGAAAGTGTCATAGACTTGAATGAGGGTAATCAAAGCGCCTCTCAAAGTATCAAAGAACTATTATCTTGCTGTTTTAAAAGCATTGAAGCATTATTTTTCCTTTTTTTTTGTTTTTGCTTTTTTTTGTTTTTTTTTTTAATTTTTTATTACATTTTTTCATAGAATCGCTCTAAGCTGTTTCAAGAACAGCCACGAGGCAGGAAGGAGGTTCTCCTCCATCCCCCTCTATTTGACATAGAGCTACACAGCTGCAATAAAAAGTTTGGTCCTTTGGTCCCTAAATAGCTAAAGGAATGACAGATAGAGATGCTCAGCGGCGGCCTCCCAGCCGCCCCCTGGGGACCAGGCCCCGCCACACCACTTGCCCCAGCCTGCCTCAGGCGCCCACGGGCTGGAAAAGCCCCGGGGATCGGTAAGCAGCGTCTCTTCCCACTTCCCAGCCCTTCAGCCTCCCCATCTGGTCTCAAGTTATTTTGTTTTAAAGTTGCCATTTTTGTGTGTTTTTTTTTCCTCATTTTTCTTCATCTTCTTGGGTCATATATATTTTCCCCCAAACACGTGCCCTCTGAACTCCACAGACGCTATACTTTCCTTGAAGAAATGTTACAGTCACAGAAAGTGTCTGGAGTCTTCAGCTTGATTGATATTGGCTGATATGTCAAAGGTGTCATCCAACAGTTCTCATTTATAAATATATATAGAGAGAGGTTTGTTTTTTAATGTAGCCCGTTCAGCATCCTGCCCTAAAATGAAGAAAATCAGGGCTGATTAAGCCAAGAGAGGAAACACAAAATGCATCCAAACACCAAAAGGACCCTGCCTCCGGGGTTAGGGTGGGAGCTCTGGGGGATGGTGGGAGGGAGGGGAGAGACCAGTATGAGAATTAGTCATGATCATGATACATAAAAAAGAAATTGACTCTTCTGTTCAGAGTAAGAAACCACTGGAGGTCTAGTGGTGATGACTGTAGCTGAGGTTTGGTTGTTGGGAGAGGGGTCTTGATTTGGGTTCCTTTAGAGTTCTGGAATGGGGGGGGTAGCTGGATCTAAGGGAAGAATTTGGGACTGTGGGATATGAATTCACAATTAAACCGATGTCTGAGGGATCTAGCCCAGATACAATATGTATACAGAAGCCTAGCAAACAAGACAGCAAAAATCTAGCAGCCTAGCCCCCTCCTCCCCAGCTTGAGGAAAAGAAGCAAGACATCCGTGACATGAATTTTGCTGAACCCCTGCCCAGTTTCCAGCCAACCGCTTCTTTCCCAAGGTCAGTAACTATTTGCGAGGCTATGTATATATATGTATATCTGGATATATGTGTAGAATATATTCACCTGCACATATGTGGATATACATGGATATGTGTGTATGTATATGCATAGATACACACATACACACACACACACACATAATATTTTTCTCATACATGCCAGGGAATTTAGAGGAAATTCGGAACTTCAAGGGAGCGGATGGGAGAACCTAAAAAAGTTAGAACGGATTTCATCATCAAGCTCAGATAAATTAACTCAGTTTGATTTTGTTTTCAATGGTGACTTTTTCGTTTGTTTTGCTTTGCTTTTAAGGAAAAAAAATCATGATCTGACTAGAATCAGAAGGAGAATGCTTAATCATCGTGAATTAACAAATGAGACTCATCTCCATTATAGCAAGCAGCTTCCACTTATACATGGGGGTGACTGGTTACATTGAGAAAGTTAGAACTGCAAAGCCCCCAGTTGAGGGGACAACGTCATGCGTATATCAATCCATGCTGGCAGGTTTTTCACACTGTTGATTCAACAAACAGCAAACCGTACACAGCAGTCTAAACAATTACAACACCAAAGAAAATAATAATAAAATTAAAAAACACTTGTCAAGGACCCTTTTTCAGTTGTAAACAAAAAGATGCATTTTGCTTTTGTCAGTACTGTTTTTTCCAAACCAACCAAAAGGTCCCCCCCACCCCCAGTCCCCCGCCTCCCCGCCCCACATTTAATTTAGCAGAGGTGGCTACAATACAAACCTTACAATTGTTACCAGGCTCTCTCTCAGAGGTCTCTGGCTTTGTACTCTAGGTTTTTTTTTTGGTTTTTGTTTGTTTTTGTTTTTGTTTTTTTTTTTGGTTTAGAATTTTTTTTTTTTAATCATTCTGTTACAGTAGAGATTTTGTTTTTGGTTTTTGTTTTCGTTTTTCCTTTTGAAGTGAGATTTAAAAATAGCCTAACTGGAAAAAGACCAGACCTAGGAAAAGTGTCAATTGAAAAAGGCCCCCAAATTTCTAGAAAAAAATAAAATCACAATATTTTCAAGTGCAAGGAAATCAACCACGCATAGATATTTTTTAAGATGTTTTCCTTATTTTTAAGAAAAAAAAATAATGGTTTGCACAGTTAAGTGATCCCATGTTCGATCATTCAGGAATTCATCTTTATTTTTACTATTTTTTTTTTTTTGGTTCTTTTGTTTTGTTTTTTTCTCTATGTGACATCTAGAGAAGCATCAAAAACGCTGAACAAGAAAAACCAAACAACAGAAAGTAAAACCACTGCAAGCACCAAGAACAAAACAAAAATGAGCACAGCAAAAAAGATTGTGGCAGCACAAAAGTCAAGAGAATGCACGTGTGATCATGACGGGCCAATCATCAACTGATACAACATCCAAGAAAAACGCTCCAATCACAGCACCTCCACGAAACTTGACGGCAATTGTCATGCAACCGATTCTTAGCCTTGTTACATGACGCCATCATGTCACACTGTGAACTTTGAGTTGATTTGAACTTACGGATGGGGGACTGTTTTCTCCACTCTCATGTGATTACGTGAACTTTATTCCTAGCTCAGCGCGAGACTGTGGTGGATTTGACTGGCCCTGGTTGGGTTGTTGGAATTTGATTGAATGACAAAAGAAGAAAAGATTTTTATATATATTTATATATGTAGAGAGAGAGAGAGAGAAAGAAAGAGAGGACAAGAGAGTGTGGGCAAGGGGGAGGGAAGAGGCGGGGGCAGGTCGGGTGGGGTCGGGGACTGTGGGAGGGCAGGGATGGTTGGGAGGAGGGTGAAGAAGGGCAAGGAAAAGTTAAAACAAAATCAAAAGGAAAAATATTTATACAGCACCAGACCACAGCATCAATCTAAAAGCTCTGATGAGAGAACAGCAGTCAAATCATAAGAGAACCGAAAAGAACTCAAAGGATGGAGGAAGCCGGCAGACAAACGACATGGGCACATCAACACACACACACACGCACACACATACGCACACACGGTTGTATATGCAGACACATGGTACACTGTGAACAGTAGCAGAACCTCACACAGGGCCACTAAGGGCATCCATCATGCGTCAGGGACAGGAGGAGGGGCGTGGGCAGTTTGGCAAGAGGGCTAGGAGAAACTAAAACAGCCCCTCAAACCACTGTGGCCAGCAAGCAGATCAGGCAGCACGCTCTCTGCTTTGTATCGCCCTCGGTTCTCTCTCCCCTGGCGGGGGGCCACACTCTCCATACCCCCCACCCCAGCCTCCTGTGGCCTCAGCCTGTGGACCAGCAGGGGGAGCCTGTCAGGGTCACCCTGAAGGCAGGGCAGATCCAAGGCTGGCTACAGCGACTTGCATCCGGGGAGCCCAGCCAGGGGCCCAAGGAGAGTCCACACCTCCAGCCACTCAGTCCTCCCGCCCCAGTGGTCCCACCTTGCTCCCCACCCCCCACCCCCAGAGAAGGGCCTCGCCGCTGCAAGAGCACCCACTGTGTGAGGTTACGGTCCTCTCCTCTTCTCCTATGCTCAACCCTCATGTCTTAGAACCTTCAGAAAATGAACACATTCAGTTTGGAGATGGAGAGTAAATCATATCCGTGTTACTGGAATTCTATGGATACCCCTCGGCATTGCTGATTTCATTTCACGGTCAGCTCATACCCTTCCCTTTGCTCCCAAGGTGGCCAACATGGCCAAAGTGATGCTGCTTCCAGGCACGTGAAGCCTTTAGAAGGCTCCGTGGTGCTGACCATGGAAGGGCTGAATGGAAGCCTATCGGGTACCCTGCAGGGTGGGTAATGCGAGAAAGGATAGTCCATCAGGGAAGGGAGTGCTATGGCCTTGGTGTCCAGGCTCTGCGGCTGTCACTTCTGGTCTGCTGCTCTCCCCTCCTCTACCTCCTCTTCCTCCGTTCCCTACACCCCTGCCTGTACATCTTTCTAGACTGCTCCATGTCACAGGCCTTCACCTGCTTTCTTTACTGGGGGAGCCCTAGGTGAGTGGGGCTGTGTCCCCTTCTCATCACATTTTTCCACCTTGAATTATCTTCTGCCCTCCTCACCACTGCATGGCCCTCTGCCCCAACCTGGGAATTTGGGGGTTCCCAGCCCTACCCCCTGCTCATGGTTCCTGCTGAGCTTGCTCCCCAGCCCCCAATCCCTGAAGCCTCTGTGCCTGGCTCATCTGTCCACCATGCTGCTACACAGAGCAGACTCCCTCTCTCAGCTCTGTGTCTTTCTTCAGGGAGTGTGGAAGAGGTGTCTGGGATCTGAAATGTCACTGTGGATAAGCTACCAAGTCGCTGAGGGGTGACTCTATCTTAAGGACATACCCAGCCTCCAGCTTTGCCTTCACAGAAGAGCTCTTCCTCCACAGACCCCTGCCCGCCTGACCATGCGGGCAGAGCTCTTGCTCTTCCAGCAGCAGGTCTCCTGCACTCAGACCAGGGCCCGATGCATGCCCAAGAGGTCCTGATACGTCCCCCTCCCCTGCATTCCCAGCCCTTTTCAAATGGAAACCCTTAGACCAACCCAGGAGAGCCAATGGGCTGGTCCCTTTGGGTGGGGGAAGTGACCTAAGAACTGAGGAGGGCAGGGCCACCAGGTGTCAGCTATGGCAACTGCAACTAAGCGGCCCACTTGGGACCATTCCCCACCCTCCACTCCTGAGCATGTCGTGGGTGCCCATTCCTCCCCACTGGACTAGCTTCTGTGCCCTCCCTCAGTCTGCCTCTAGCTGCCCTTTGGTGCCTGCGCTGTCCTGGGTCCTGAAGGACAAGCTGATCATCACACCCACCTCCTCAAAGCCCCACATAGGGAACTTCTCATACACACTCTTGCCCCTCACACACACACTCATGCTTGGCCCAACACACAAACACACTGTCACACTCATTCAACTCCTCGGGAGCCTCCCCAAGGCTCTGCACATGCACAGCTGACTAGCTGACTCCTCTCTTTATTAGGGGACAGCTAGACCCCAGCCTGCAGGGGTGACCCCTTCTTGGCCACTCTCTCAAAGGTCCTCACAAAGCACAGTCCCAAGAGGTGGCAGCAGGGTCACTGACCAGCAAGGGGGGCTTGAATCAGGCCTGGGAAGCTCCAACTCACGACCTGGGAGAGGAAATTATTGTCAGCTGAGCCAATTCAGATGCCAGGTTCTAAACACAGCTGGGCTCCAGCCAGAGATGGCCCAGATCCAAAGTCACCGCCCAGCCCCATGCAGGTCAGGCCCAAAGCACCCGTACCTACACAGCTCAGAGCAGACACTGTGCAAAGTTCAGCTCAGAGCAGACACCTTGCAAAACACACTCAGAGCCACAACCCAGGACCCAGAAGAGAGAGGACTCCCACTGAAGTCAGACATGCTGCTCAGTGTCCTCCAACCCCAGAACCACAGTGCTGGGAGTCTGTGACCCTGCTCTTAACATGGGGCCCAGTGCGTGCTACTGATCTTTGCGGCAGGACAAGGGACTTGGGTATTCTGCTCACTGGCTATGGCCCTGGCCACAGTGTTGCCCAGTCTTTCCACCTTTGCTACCTCCCTCTTTGTTTCCTGGTGAAGATTTCTTGGAGAAACCCCCACCTTAGTACAAGGTAATGAGCCCAAGCAGCCAGAGGAGCAGGGGTGTCAGGGAAACCAGGAATGGGCGGGGCATCACACCATCAGGAGACCTCAGGATTTGGGGAGCCAACCTGACACTACCCAGGCCGCACATTATGGAACCAACACCCAACTGCGCTCCCCATGGCTGCTCTGCTGGGGCCCCCTCCCCGCCTAGACCTGCCACACTTTTGTCCTGACCTGGCTCTGGCCGCCATGGTGACTTCGCCTTCACCACTGCCGGTGGCCAGCCAGGCCCTGAGATCCCTCCACCCCACCACCCCTTAGCTCCCGGTTATGGTTTGTCCCTCCACCGGCCCTGCTCAGGCTAGCCCTGCCCTTCTGAGCCTCTAGGACTCATCCTTTACCAGGCTGTAAAATTGTGGGGTTTTTTAGCTGCTTTTGCACGCTGTTTCCTCCACCTCTCACTGCAGTCCCCGAGCCTGCGCCTTATCTCAGCACCTCCTTCTGTTACGGCCTCTAACAGTCTTAAGTTGGAAAGCCTGAAATCACCTTTTGTTAAAATGCTGTCTAAATGGATTAAAGGTCAACTTTATTTGTAGGAGTTCTGTTATGTCATAATTTTCTAGAAGACTGCTTAAGAAGAGAGGGGCCCAGAGAAGTGAGATGTCATGACATGCCCCCTCAGACACTCAGGACAAGACTCTGGAGTGGGAGGGTTGGGGTGAGGATAACGGGGTGGGGGGTTGGGGATCATTCTCCTTACGTAAAGGCACTTAGGAGCACAGCATCTGGAATGAAGCTCCAGCTTCAAATCATGGCTCTGCCACTCAGTAGCTGACAAGCAAGTAACTTAATCTTTTGTGCTCCATCTTTAAAATGGGAATAAAGACAGAGCAGTCACAGCGATACAGCTGCACTACGGACTTGTAACCTGTAAGAACTGTGCCTCGTGTGTTCTTAAGCACACATGAAGTCTGGGTTCCCGGCTGTCTGGTCTTGGTTTTCCCTGGGGGAAGAACCCCTCTGTTTTCTAAACCACGCCTCTCAAGCCCTCACTCCAACTACCAGTGTTAGCTGCTTCTACCCCGTGGGCCACTTCTTACTGTCTGTCCCAAACAGCAAATCTGCCTTACTTACCCCTTCCTCTGGGAATTTCTCTGATCTACAGGTCTGATCTATCCTTGCTTGGGTTTTACTTGCATGTAGGTCTAGGAGGCTAAGACAAGATGCTTTCACAAGAGGCACAAACACACCCACAGGGGCCCCTCAGAATCTCAGGGCATGGCCCTGGAGCACACCCCCTCCTAAAAAAATCCTCTGATGACTGCAACACCTTGGTTTCATTAATGTAGAAATGGAAGTCCAAGAGGTTGTGTCTTCGTGGCAGAGCTAAGTTTATCTATGAAAAAAGGCTCTCTGTCCAGAAAGGGCTGCTCTTACTGACTGACCCCCCAACTCCTACGGAAGTGCACCCCCTTGCAGACTGTGTCCTGTGGTCTGTGTTTGCTGCGCCCAGAAGCTCGTGCAGGCAGGATGGTGACCCTGTCATCTCTGCAGGCCAACAACAAGCCCAGTGCCAGTCCGGGAAGGTGCCCCACTCTCAGTGAATGCAGGTGTACACATCTTCACAGGAGCCAGAGATGGGCAGGGCTGGGAGCTCAGGGGGCAGGAGAGGTGGCTTTTGCTTTATCAGCCTTGCAGAGAGCAGAGGCTCAGCACCCTCTCCGAGAGAAGTGAGAGCTGCTGCTCCTGGGCGGCTGGAGGGTGTTCTGCTGGTAGCGGTGGGGTTTGAGAGGAGACTGGGAAACTGAAGATCTCCCTCACAAACTCCAGACTCTGAACCTCCACATGAGTGGCTAACTCTCATGTGCAGGGTCCATTCTTTGCCCCAACTCCTCCTCATCTCGAGTCACGGTAACTCTGTTCTTCCAGTTTCTGGGGCCAAAAGCTGAGGGTCATCCTTGACTCCTTCTGTCGCACCCTCCTCCAATTCATTATAAAAGGCATCCTGGCTCTGCCTTCCAAAAACACCAAGAACACAACTCCCTCGTACCACACTGGCTGCTGCTGTCCTGGACTGAGTGGTCCACGCACTAGACTTCTGCTGGAGCTCCTATCAACACAGCAACCAGGGATCGCACTGACTTGCAATGGGTTCGCCACTCTTCTACTCAGAGCTCTCCAACGGCTCCCCAGTGCCCACTCCCTTAGCCTATACAATGGCCGCCAGGTCCTGCCTGAGGTGGTCCTCCTCACCTCTGAGATCCCCTCTCCTGCCATGCCCCCATGCTTGCTCCCCTCCAACCACCTTGTTCTGCTGTTCTCCACCACACTGCCCCGCCCTCTCTTTGGAGCCTTTGCAATGGCTGTCCCTTCAGATGAAAGACTCGCTCCTCCAGATGCTGGCATGGCTCCCTGTCTCACCTGCTCCAAGTCTTTCCTTGAATGTCACCTACTCAACAAGGCCCACCGTAACTACCTGATTTAACTGTAACCAACAATTCTGACACACTGTATAATTTACTCTTTGGTCATATGTGTTTGTTTATTGTCTGTCCCTCCTTCTAAGGATGAGGGTTCTTGTCAGTCTTATTCGGTGCTCAGTCCCAAGTACCTAACAATACCTGGTGCACAGTACTGCTGATGGAAGCGGAGGGATAGAGGGCTGGGAGACCTGCCTCTGGCCTGTGGGTGAGCTGGGCCTACAGGAGTTCCCAGCAGTGTGGGATATCAGGCTGAAGGAGGGCTGGGCACATCTCCCCCTCCCCACCCCTTTCCCAGGAAGATGCTTCACCCAGGGGAACAACTGGCCTGGAAGAGAAGTAGCCTAGTGTGTCTCCAGCCACAGGGCAAGACCCAGACTGAGCAGGAAAGGGTGACAACTGCCCACTCATCAGAGCCTGCGGTAAAGCAGACAGGGTAAGTGGCCCCAGAGCTAAGCCATCACCCTCCTCAACTTCTGCCCTAGACTGACTGAGCTACGGAGAACTGGAGGGGTGAGGAGGTCAAGTGTCTAAAGGCCACCAGCCCTCAAGGCAGGAGACATAGGAAGGAGAGAGCCAGGGAGTCTAGAAGAAGGCCCCAGGAGACGTGATCAGCTCCCCCTTCCCAAACTCTCCCAGTACTAAGCTTGCCAAAGGCTCGTCACAGGCTCACCCCAGGGTCTTCTGGCAAACAGGATTGCCAGTGTAGACCTCCTGGATGTAGGGCCCAGGGCTCGCCCCACCTTCTCAGAACGGTTCCCTCACACCTGCTTCTCTTGGCTCTGCAACAGGGGGATGGCCACGCCCATTTCTGCAGGATGACCACAGCTCTAGGCCTGCCCCCAGGCATCGGGTGAGGAGCAGGTCGAGCTGGGCGCAGCGGGTCCAAGGCAAGCGAGGGTCCAGTTCAGGAAGGCCAGAGGAGGCGGCGGGTCCGATCGGTGCCCCTTCCCCAACCCCCCGTCCCCGCGCCCCGGCCGCCCCCGGTTACCTGTGCGAGTCCTGGTCTCCCCCGGGGGACGCTCCCGCCGGCGCTCAGTATGGGCGATTGGCGTCTTTGGGCCGCTTCAGCTGCACCTTGAGCCTCTTCATGCCGATCTGGAAGCCGTTCATGGCCTGGATGGCGGTCTGCGCGCTGGCCGGGTTGTCGAAGCTCACGAAGCCTGGCGAGACACGAGGGACGAGGGCCTGGGTTTCCACGGGGCCGCCCCGGCGGGGAGGGGTGGGTGGGGATAAGGGCGGGGCCCGAGGGCGGGGCGGGGCGGGGCTGGCGGCGGCCCCTCCCAGCGCTCCCGCAGCACCTCGGGCAGGAGGGGGGCCTCGAGGCTCCTTCCCCCCCCCCTGGGGCCCCGCCCCGGCCCGGCCTCACGCACCCCACAGCCCGCGAGCGCGCGGCCCCTCCCGGGGTGGGCGTGTCCGGGGCTCCAGGTCTCGCCGACCCGTGCCTCCAGGCCGGGCCTCCCCAGCTCCACCGCGGCTTTGGGCGGCGCCACTCTCCTGGGCGCCCTCGCCCCCCACCCCGGCCGGCCCCGGCACCTCAGCCCTCTACTTCGGTGGGAGGGCGGACACACCTGCGGGTGGAGGAGTTTATTGGACACTGTCCTCCCTGACAGGAGGGGGCCTGGCAGCGGGAGGGCACAGGGTGCCGGCCTGGGGAGAGAGAGGAGTGCGAGGGGGAGGGAGGGGGGCACCCCGGAGAAAACCTCTCCACCGCTGTTTCCAGCCGCCCCCCCTCGCAAGGACCGCTTGGCCGCGGGGGCGGGCAGGGGCTGACAGTCCTCACGGCCCTCCGCCCCCCTCCCGGTCTTTGGTGAGGCTGCCCGGAGCCAGGCTCCTGGCGGACACTTGCCTAAATCCAGTCCGACTGGCAGGAACCCACCACTTCGCGTCCAGGGGCGGTTGGCACCTCCCTTTTATTTAAAATTCCAAGCCCTGGGAGCAGGTGCACTTGCCCTGGATTCTAGGCGAGCACCAACTGACGCATCCCCTATGAACCCCTCATGGTATCTATAATCAGTAGTAGGGCAAATTAACGCTATTAGTAAAAGTTGCTGAGAGCCTTCTCTGTGGCCTAGGCACTGCAGAAGTGCTTTTTACAAAGTCACTCGGTCACTCTTCCCAACATCCCAGAAAGAGATACAGAACCATCTACGGCTCCCAGTCACCTTCTGAAAAAAGTAGTTCCCAGCTGGGGATGGATACGAATCTGAAAGTTAGTATAAAAGTCACCCTTTGGGAACTTTGAATGCATCTCCTTATAGAGACTACATTTTACATCAGCATCTCCTAAACTGGCCCTAACTGGTGCTCCTGAGAAAGGGACTTCTGTGGTCAAGTAGACTTACCACCGTGCCCCTCCGGGGCAGTTTAAGACACATGAATAAAAAAAAGCCCACTTCCCACCGCAAGTTCTCCAGTAAATAAACACTTATAGCTTGGATTGCCTGGTGTTTCCTGGAATTTATTTGACTTGAGGGGCCCTTTCTCCTGTAAAATGGACTTAGATCCTGCGAACTATATGAAACTAAGTTTGGCGAGGTTCCCAGGCCATCCTGCAAACGTGTCTCATTTAGGGTGCTCGTCCCCAGATGGCCTCTGGATATACAGCTAATAGGTGTACAGACCCCCACCGCAGCAGTAGCCGTTTTCTTGGCTAGTTGTCCATGGTACACTGGGCCTGTCCCAGACCTCTCCCTCACCCTCCCCACATGGTGACTGTCTTTTTACCTCTGCCCTACGCCCTCCTGCCTCCTCTGGTCTCTTTCCTCTTTCTCTTGACTCCTTCCTGCTTTTGCTCACATTTGTCACACTCACTCTTGCAGCCATGAGCCATCAAAGATGGTGTGTGTGTGTGTACACAGTAAGTGTACTCAAGAATGGGTGCGTGTGAGCTCAGATGGAATCAGTGAATCAGGCCCAGAGAAACATGACCGATCTCTGTACAAGTCCATGTGCCAAAACAGGAGAGACTTTGGATGGCCCTTAGCCAGAGAGCTGCAGGAGAGACATCCTTCCACCTCCTCCTCTCTTCCCCTTGGCCAGTCCACCACCCCACTGACCTCTCTGCCTGATGACCACAGTCAGGTCTTCACAGAACAGAGCAGTTTTCACATGTGTGAACTGCAGGTCTGTTACACAGCTCTCCCCCAGAATCAGGGGCGTGGTTGAGCCAAAGCCTCTCTCTGCCAGGAGAGAGAGCCTCACTGGGTGACACCCCTCTCTCCTCCGCTGGCCCGCCGGCACAGCCCTATCAGCTCAGACTCTATCTCCCCACCTGCCCCCGGCCCTCTGTGGCTCTTCTTGCAGGAAACAAATGTGAGCAAAGCAGGGAGGAGTTGGGAGGAAGATAAAGAGGGCTGGGGGTACTACCTAGGGCAGAGGGGTAAAGGGAAGGACAGCCACCCAGTGAGGAGAGTGGGGGACCAGAGGTCCTGGAGGGAAGAAGCCCAGCCTTCATAGGAGAGTTTAAAGTCTCTGAGAGCTCAGGGGTTGGTAAGTGCTCCAGGCTCAAGGGAACGTTTCTCTCTCAGCTAGTTTTGCTAACTGGTGAGGAGTCAGGGCCGCTGAACGGGGCTCTAGACGCCGTCTCCCATTTTTATGGTTCCCAGGGCTGGGTTCCTTCCCCCAGAGCCTCCTTCCCCATCCCTTTCAGTGCTGAGAAGGCTCCAGCCTCCTGGGCTGTGGGAAGCCATGTAGGGAGGAGGCCCTCCTGGTGTGCCTTCAGACACAGCAACCATTTGTGCTGCATGTCAGCTCTCAAAGGCTGCAAGATTCTGTTTATGCTCATAAAGAGCAGGTGGGCACTTTGTGGGGGCTCACTTTAACACAGGACCACATTTACTCAAAGACAGCTCCTCCTTTTGGGTACAAAGGGGGCTCTGGCACCCTTCACTCTTCACCAGAGCATCCTGACGGTCTGCTCTGGTGAAGCCCCTCACACACACCACCTCCTGTAACCCTCACATGGCCTCTGAGAAATGACCACCAATATCCTCATTTCCCAAGTGAGGACACCAAGGCTCAGAGGTAGATGCCTGCCTGGGAAGGAGCTCGGAGCTTCTTCTCACACTGAAGGCCTCTGGGAGAGTTGCCAAAGCGCAGCTGCCAAAGCAAACAAGAAAGAACCCAGGGGGCTTAAGGAGGAAGCACTGGGCCCAGCCGGCGTGGCAGGAGCCCATCCTTCTCTAAGGCCAGTGGACGTTTAGCCCTAGAAGTCTTTTCAGGAACTGAGGAAAGAGCCAGAGTAGAGGGATACAGAGGATGATTTCCAGCGGGGGGAAAAAACCTTGGTCCTGGAGAATTTAAATAGGCAAATGGGCAGACTCCAAGGAAATGCCTTTGAAAAGGTGGGCTGCACAAAAAAAAAAAAAAAAAAAAAAAGATGGGACAGCACAAAGGCTTCAGGGCCCTGGGCAGAGCACAAGCCTGCTGGCCCAGGGGGCTGGGTGCTAGGGGGGCTGCTAGCAGCGTCTTCTGCCCTCTGCAACATCTGAGCCCTAACATACATAATGGTGATGTGCCAGCACAAACACTGGCCAAACAGGGGAGGGGTGCAACCATATCTTCTTCTTTGGCTTTATTTTCTCACACTCAAAGGGAAAGAAACTGCTGGGATAACTCTATGCTCTCCAAGTACCACACGTTTCCTGTGGCAGCTGCCGGAGGGGAAGGGACCCAGGTGCAAAGACCTTGACTGCTTTGGGGATTATGCTCTAAAACCTCACGCCATTCACGGGTCTGCAAAGTGGGTCTCCTAACAGCAATCTCCTTGCCCTGTGCTTGCTGATGCTTCTACACACTTGAGCGCCCTCCCCTCCACCATTCCAAGCTGTGACCGGGGTTCCCCAGGCAACCCAGGCTCCTACTCTGTCCTCACAGGCTCAGAAGCTGGGGTTCAACCTGGAGATCTAAGCTTCTGGCCAACTCAGCTCTGGTTCCATGGCTTTCTGGGGACTGGACTCATGAGTGGATCTTGCCCCGTGGGAAGGGCTGACAGAGGTGAAAGAGGAAGCAGGGGAGGGGGCTGAGGGGGAGTGGAGGGGAGAAGTGTGGGAATGAGGTGGGATTCCAGGAGGTCCAAAGCAAATCCAAACACAGGATGCCCAGTTGAATTCAAATTTCAAATAAATAATATTTTTTTACTATAAGCATCTCCCCAGTATTGTATGGAACATATCGCATACAATATTTGGAACATACTTACACACACACAAAATGGATCCATTGTTTATCAGAAATTCTAGTTTAACTGGGCACCCTGTATTTTATCTGACAACCAGACTCCGAGATCCTCCCCGAGTCCCCTGTCCCATCTCACACCCTGCCACCACGCGCATTTCCTAAAAGCTGTATTTTCATTCCATTATTCTCAGGTCAAGGACCTGCCAGCATCTCCCACTGCCTCCATCCCAGAAGCATCCTCATCGGAATGGTCAGCCCTCCCCATCACAGCCCCTCCCTCACAGCTGGTGCCCCTGACCCCTTCTCCCCAAAGCCTCCTGCAGCGTCCTCAGCCACTGTCCTTCCCCTCTTCTCCTCCCGCTCCCAGCCCGTTCTCTGGTCCCTCTGGGGCACTCCCTCCCCTTCTGCACGGCTGTGTACATCCACCTGCCTTTCTCTCTGCTCCATTACTTGGTGCCTTGCAGACTTCAGTGCTGCGCAGTAGGCATGATTGTCATCTAAGCTCAGACCTGAGGCTTCCTGAGGGCAGGACCAGTTTGCTCTTCCTGACTCCTCAGCAATGTGGCTCTGGTGGCCTGAGGGAGTGGTGGGGGAAGGAGGGTTCAGTGGATGGTAGGAGGGGATCAAAGAGCGGGGTAGACAGAGAAGGGTGGCAGGGGCAGGACAGAGAGGTGGACAGAGGAGACCAAGGGGCAGGCAGAACGGGAGGGGGGGGTCTCAGCGGGGCAGACCCCTCCCCCCCAAGGATCATGCTCCACATCCATCCACCAGGGCCTCTAGGATGGCCAGAGGAGGGGATGCTGGGAGAATGGGCTCGGCTCGATGCCCCCACCACCCTGGCCCAAGGTGACTCCTTCCCCTTCTCCGTGGGTGGAAACTGGGCCTTGTGGAGGGCGGGGGAACCTGTCTCTTGTCTCTTGGACTGGGATGGGGGCGATGGAGAGCGGGTGGGGGGCAGGGGTGGGCAGGGAAAGCCAAGAAGCGGAGAGAAAAGCAGCAGAGAGAAAAGAGGTAGAGCTGGAGGCTGGGGGCTGGGCCTTAGGGAGCACCTGGGAGGGGGGCGATGTGAAGGAGGAGGTTAAAAGCAGTCGGACACCGGACACCGGTAAATTGGTGCGAGCACCGCCCTGTCCTGGGTGAAGCTAGTTGGTTTGTTATCTTTACCCACCAAAGCATTTACTTTGGTTAGTCGCCCGATCCACAAACACTTTCGAGGAGATGACATTACCGAAAGGGAGGAACATCTGCATCAGCTCAGCGTCCCCAAACTCCTGGGGCAGATGGTAGATGAACAGGTTACAGCCCTCGGGCCCTGCGGGGGGGGGGGGGGGGGGGGGGGGGGGAGGGGGGGGGGGGGGGAAGAGAGAGACAGAGGAGAGGTGAGCGAGTTAGGCAGCGGCAGCAGGGAGGGGGACAAGGTTGGGGGAGGTCTCATCCAAGAGCCAAGGGCGGCCACGGAGGAGTGGGGACTGCTGAGCCCCAGTCTGAGCTCTGGTCCCCGCCCTGCCCCTGGGCAAGTCACTGAACCTCTCTGTGCCTTAGTCACCTTTGCTGTGAAATGTGTCTGTAACAGGGGGCCTGGCAACTCGTTCCAGGGGCGGAGCTGACGAGTGAAGGGGGTCAGCGTGCCAAGGCCTGACCAGCCAGGGAGAGGAGGAGCTGAGGAGAGGTTCGGGGAGGGAGACCTGAGAGGGTCTGCCCGCTGCCCAGCCAGCCCAGCCCCTGCTCTGGAATCGCCCTGGGGCAGCCATGCCAGTGGCCCTGTGAGAGGCTTCACCTCACCTCCAGCTCAGACCTTGGGGCCACCTTTCTCCACAACCTGTAGCCATCTGGTGCCCCATGGTCCCACCTTCCCCTGCCCCAAACCTCACACTCAGTCCCCATCCCCAGTGCAGAAATCAAGACTTATCTTGTCTCCTCCAGCAGGCTAGGTGCACAGGTGGGGGCTTCACGGCATGGCCCGGTATTCAGCAGGGGCTCCCGCATGGAGCTCCCCATTCCATGACAAGAACAACCCCGCCACTTCTGCACAAACTACTGGTCAGGCTCCTCTAAGCACTTGAGCTGTATGTTAAGTCACTTAATCTTCTTGCAGCCGTTGGAGGCAAGTGCTATTGTCACTCCCACTCCACAGATGAGGAAACAGAGGCCCAGAGAGGTTAGGTCACCTGCCAAACATCACACAGCTGGGAGTGGGTGGAGCCAGACCTCATCTGGCTAGTCTGGGCTTTCCTCTCTCTGCCTATCATAGATCTCCACGCCCCGGGAAACACCGAACACTGGCGAGGCCTTTGGGTTTCTGAAATTTCTAGGCTGCTAAAGTTTTACATTTTTCTTTTTAAATAACCAACATGCCCAGTTTTCATTTTGAAACAGAACTCTCTCCAAGACGATTCGTGTATTTCATGCCATTTTAAACAGAGTATGCCGCATATTTTTAACCTTTTAAGACTGGTCGTTCCAATGATTGTTCCCAGCCAGCATGCAAAGGAAGCAGGTGCGTTTGTCAGAGGCATCTCAGAATCAAGGTTCTGACCAGAGGCTGGTAGGAACTGAGCGTGCACTTGGAAAGTAAAGGTGGTAAGGCCCCGACGTGGACAGCGATGTGGTGTTCACAGCCAGAACTGTGTGGGGTTACCCTGGGACAGGTGAGGCTGCAGGTAACCCAGTTCGGAGCAGGTGTCTGGACCCTCACTCTCTCCTTGGTCCCTACAAAGACTCCTCTGACCACCAAAACTACCCTCTGAGCATCTGACCTCCTGGGTCCTAGATCCCTGCCCTGCACCATCTGCACCACTTCCTTCCCTCAGCCTCTCCTCCCCGACAACGGTCTCCCAGGCAAACTACCAGCTGACGGCGCATTCAGAACCAGAACCGGCGCAAGTGCAAGCGTCCTGGGGTCCCTGCTGCTGAATCCCCCAAGTGTTGGTGACCCTCCCCTTACCCCATCTCCAGCCATGTCAGGTTCTCACTGGTTCACACTCTGTGGATGGATCCCTGGATGGTCCCCGGCTCAGTGTGAGTCCCCTTAGGGTAGGAATCAGCTCAAAGGCCTGATCTAAGCCACACCTTTTCCAGGACTTCCCCCTAGATAGTCCCTATTCGCTCTCTCTCTTCCGGTGTTCCCTAAGTCTACAATTGTGGTCTGAGTCTCTTTCTCCTTTAGGTCTGGAAGCTTTTTCCCTCCAACCAAATTGGAAGATTTAGGGACAGGGACATTAGCCTTCTCCTATCCTTCTGTACCTCCCCCAGCTCTGCCTTCTTTCTTCCTTCCATTCTTTTTTCAGGTCTTCCCTCAATGCTCCCTACCCCATGCAGCCACCTGCTTTGAACTTGGGACTCTTGCTTCAAGTTCTGGAAGCTGCTTTATATGGATGTTGTGTTTATTCAACTTAAAGATTCAAGAAGCTCTTGAGGGCAGTCCTGTCAGTGTGGTATACAGCGGAGCTTCACAGGAATGGCTCTCCCAGCTCCAGCCAACCACCTCCCACCCCATCCTGCCCTTCACACCTCAACAGGGAGCCTACACATCCCAGCCTTCTGAGAAATGCTGAAACAGAGCCCCAGAGACAGAAGGTGCTACCCTGACCACACTGTGGCCCTGGGGACAGCCAGAACTTGAGCATCCCTGAGGGTCACCTCGGCCCACCTGTGGAGCAGACAGCCTCCAGGAATTCAGGCATCTGTTGCTTTTCAGGCTCAACTCAAAGACAAAGTGCCGGAAGGAGGGTCTCCCCAGCAACCAGTGTGTCCGGGTATTTCAATGACTTCACACAGGGGGAGGTAACCGTGATAGAAAGGACCAGCCACTGGCATGGCTGGAAGAACACAGCTTTCCTTCTCACCTATGCCTCAGGGAACGCTGTGGACATGGCTTTGGGCTGCCTCCAGCCCACCCCAGCCTATCTCCCCATTCTGTCTCATCCCCAAGGCCAAGCCCACCTCCTACTTCGCAGCACTCATGCCTTTGCTTCTGTTCTCCCTACCTCGAATGTTTGTCTCCCCAACTCTATGTGCTAAAGACTTCATTCATGCTCCAAGGCCCCCGAAGCCTCCTCTGATGACCCTGTCCCGGCACCCTGAGCTCCCCCTGTGTGAAGCCTGGTTCTGTACCATCTGGGTCCACGATTCCCCCCACCCCCATGCCCTGCTCTCCCATGGTGCCTCGCCCAGCGCATCAGTCAGGGAGAACGTGGACAACAGTAGGAGATCCCGCAGCCGAGAGCTGGCTGGGAGGGGACTAGTCTGGGGAGCAGGGCACAGGGCAGCGGGGGCTGGGGGAACTGAAGGCACTCAGAGACAGAAGGAAGGTCGGAGAAGTTCAGAGCAAGGTGCCTGGGGTGGAGCAGATGGAGGGGCTCACTCTGTGTAAGGCTAAGGGCCAGTCTGTGTGTTGGTCAGAGCAGCACTGACCTGCATCTGTGTGCATGCAGCAGGGCTTAGAGACCCCTGAGGCCACGGGCCAGAGTGACGCAGGGCACTGACAGCGGGCTGAGGGTGTGGCAGCCTAAGGCCAGCGAGGTGACAAAGCTAATAGTGCCTGTGGGCACAGTGCTCTGTTCTGGGCCTGGGAGAGATGGGCCCCACGAGGACTCCAGCCCCCACCATGGCCCCCACCCTGCATGGATCTGATCTTACTGACATGCACTGAAGAGATGGACTAAGGCAGGGATAGGCAGGGCAAATAGGCTGGAGGGCCACAGCCCAAGAGGGGAGCCTCCGGTGGAGACCGGGCTGCTGGACCACCTCCCCACCTCACTTGACCACTAGGGGGCCCAGACCCCATGGGTTCCTGTAGCTTGGCTCTTCTGGGTACCAAGAGATGACGACACAGATCTCAGGAGCTGCCCAATGTTCGTAAACTGGGGTGATGGGCACCATGGGCAACTTTAGAGGGGTAACAGTTTGGTGAAGGAAGGGCTGTGCGCATCGTGAGAAATCCAGAGGAAATTGCTGGAGTTCCAGTCAAACTTGGGCTCCTCTGAGCTTCCTGCTTCCCTAGTGACTGGTCCTTGCTATCCTCATTTTACAGGTAAGGACATCAGGGATCAGAGAGGAGGAGGTGGCCAAGCTAGGAGTCAGACCCAGATGGATTTGTTTCAAAGCCCAGGCTCTCAGCCATCTGCGGTCTGTGTGGGGCCTGTATGACCAATGGGTTTGGACTAACAAACCCCCAGGGTCCTTTCCAGAACAGAACTGCACACCCGGCTCAGGGACAGCCTGCTGCAGGGACTATGAGCTGGCAATCTGGAGACACTGCACTCCCCTGGCCAAGTGGGCTCCTGGGGCAGACGGAGGAACCTCACTGCAGGGTGAGCTTTCTCATGGGGTGGGCAAAGCAAGACCTTGTTGGTCTCTTGCCCCTCACACTGATCTCTCTGTGAGCAGGCCCGTGGAATACCCGAGCGTGGGCTTATTTCTCCAGCCTCCTGTGAGGTTTCTAGACTCTGGAACGGGAGGACACTGAAAGTCTCTATTAGATCCCAGCCCCCCAAACCCCACTGGCCTTGCCTGGCCTGCCCTAGGCCCTGGGCATACCAGAGCCTCTGGATGTGACTTTCTATGAGGCTCTTCTCCCACTAGGCTGCCCTGAGTCTCCACCACCCCATCAGCTGCCCGTGGAGTCCCTGGGAGCTCCAGCTGTCTCTCCCGGTCACCCAGAGGATACAAGTTCTCCTGTCCGTGATGAACACGTCTCCCTACTCCTGCTCCATTCCGAACATTCCTACATCCTCCCTTCCTCTTCACTGGCCAAATCCTGCCTAGTAGGGGAAGGGAATTCTTCGATCCCACCTCCTCCAGGTTCTCCCTTCCTGACCTCCTATCACTTGGGTTTACAGAACTGCCCTCGAGAAGCCCACCTCCACGCTTGGACTGGAGAATGCCATGCCCCGCAATCCTGCTGTTTTCCCTCGCCCTCCTCAACACAACACACAAACATGGTCACCCTTCGAAAGAAACGCCCCAGCCAAAGGCCCAAGTGAGCAGCCTCTGTGGGGACAGCAGGGGGTGGGGAGGAAGCCCCAGCTCAAAGACTCACCTTCTCTCTGTTGCTGGGGGATCATTGGAGGTGGCTGAGGAAAGGCCTGGCTTATCTGACCATAGGCAGCAGGGTAGGCGGCTGCTGGAGGGCCAAAGAGAAGAGGCAAGAGGGAGAAACGGCGACAGTGACATGGAGAGACAGAGTGAGAGGCGGGAAGAAAGAAAGAAACTTCAGCGTTGAGCAGTAAAAGCAGACCAGCCAGAAAGGGCATTTTAGCTTAGCCGCCTAAAATAAAGCCAGCTGAGGGCGTGTGCGTGTGAGTGTGAGTGGGTGTGCACGTGCACACATGCACTCCCAGGGTTGGGGAAGGCAAGTTTATTCTGAAACAAGGGACAACCCACAAGCGTAGGTAATCCACAGTAATGGATCATCAGAAACACTGGCCTGCCTGGACCAGATCACCCCACCAGCCAGGATGCCCATTCTCTGAGCTGCAGCTGACTCGGGCATGCACAGTCCACCCACTCTGATGGCACCCGTGTGGGAGGGTTGGGTGCCACTTGAGGTATGAGCTTGGCCTCTGGGGTCCTGCCAGGGGCTGGTCCCCAGGGGCAGAGCACTGAGTTGGACAAACCTAGTGCTTTCTGCCTTCAACATGGAAGGGTCAGAGGCAGGACAGGATGGCCAGAACCTTCCTCCACTTGGCCTGGCTCCCACAGGTGCAGGATCCAAGGTCAGAGCTCGGGGGTCCCAGCAGGTGAGACAGAGCTTCCCCTGACCTCCAGATGTGAGAGGCCAGCTTCACCAGAACCCCCACGTTGCCCTCAGGGGAGATCTCTCTGGCTCTTTCTGACCTGGCCAGGCAGCAGGACACAGGCAGCAGGGATGATTATGGTGCGTGTGAGAGAGACAGAGAATCATGGCTTCCTACAGTGGCTCACCGCCTTCCCACTCAGTGACCTAAGGCCATTTGCTCACCGCAAGGCTGTCTCTTCTCAGTTCTCCTTTTTGCTACCTCTGGCTGCCGTTGCCTGTATGTGACCATGGGTTGGGTGGGGGGGTGTTGCTCCTTCCTTCGCACCCAGGCATCTACCCTTGCCAGGCCAATGAGGTGAACTCCAGCTGCACCCCCAGAGCTGCCTTGCGATTTGAGGCCGGGGACACACTGGCCTTGGCAGCACCACGGCGGGAGGAAAATCTGGCCTCCGAGATGCATAGCTCCCCAGCAAGGTTAGGGCTCAGACCTGGCTCCCCTTCTCCTCTGAGAAGGGTACCCACCCTCACAGGTAATCCCTGCCTGAACACTAGGGGGAGCCGTCGAGAGGGAGGGGGGTCCTCTCCCAGGAAAGCCCTCCCTCCTCTTCCCCCTCCCCCCAGCTGGGCCCAGGCCAGGTGTGGGAAGGGGTCCCTGGTGCCCGGGCATGAGGACTGGGGCCGTGAGGGTACTAACGACCTGCGTACTGCTGCACTCCAGCGTAGGCCTGCTGCAGGGGGTCCGCGGCGGTGGGGCTCTGCGCTGCAGGGGAGCCAAGGGAGCAGAAGTCAGCCATGCCCGCCGGACCAGCCTCTCCCCCACCATGCCCACAAGATGAGGCTGTGGCCGCAAGGCTCTTCCCAGCCACTGTGGTGTGACTCCCACCCTGACTGGGGGCTGGGGAACGCAGGGGGTGGGCAGCTCACTCAGAAGACTGACCGGATCCTGGAGAAGGGCTGAGGGACAGTGAGTGAGGGGGCTAGAGGCTATAGGAGGGTGGGCTCCTCCGCACTTGTCCCCAGCACAAATCGGGGACAGATTCCCACCTGGGTAAAATAAAGGGCATGTGAGGCTTCATCCCGCCACTCCATCCTCCTGGGCCACCCATTCCTGCTCAAACCCAGGCACCTCTCCATTAGTCTCCAGGAGTTTGCCCCAGGCATGGAGGGCTTGCACTCTGAGGCTGCTCCTGATACACCCTCTGCAGGGAGTATCCACACAAATAAGGTCTCCCCCGTGGGCTGGGAAAGGGGTGGAGCCCACCGAAGCTGAAATACCAGGGGACCAAGGACCTTCCTCCCACCTGACGTCATGAGTCTGGGATGCCTACTGCCCAGTGTGAAAGAGGAGCCTTAGGCTGATAATCTGGCAAATAACTTGGAGAAGCCGGGCTGGGGAGAAGGATTGGCTCGTTTCTGTTGCCTCTGTTGTGCCTACAGTTGCCGTGGGGGAAAGCTAGTGTGTGCACAACCCTTGGTGACCAAGGCCCCAGATGACTGATGAGGTAGGGGGCTGGCCCTGGAGGCCCAGGGAGGCGAGTAGGGACACATCCATCCTCAGTCTGCTTGAGGCAGACCAGATAACAGAGTGAGGCAGGAAGAAAATTACCTGGGCTTCTCTGTCTGGCAACTCAGGCCAGCAAAGCTAACTGGTTAATGCTAGGCTTTGGGGCCCACAAAGCAGGAAGAATTCCTAAACTTCCATTCTGAGCTCTTGTCTGAAAACCTCTCAGGAATCTTCCACTAGAACAATAGCTCCCGAGCTTCAGGGGAGCCCAGGGAAGATCTTGGGGTGATAGTCCTTGGACACAGCATGGATGGCAGCATGGAAGCTGGGCCCAGGGGGGCACTGCTCAGAGTGGGGAGCTGAAGATGGGGAAGGACGCAGGTCCCTTCCTGCCTGGGGTTGTCTCGGGACAAAACCCTCACAGCAGAGACTGGGGCCAGGAGCTGGCGATGGTGACAGTACTGGTGCTGGTGCTGGTGCTGGTGCTGGTGCTGGTGCTTGCTGGGGCTGGCCTTCTCCTCCCTCCTGCTCCCTCCGCATGACCCTTCCACCAGCCCCAGCTCTCTAGACGGCCATGTTTAGGTTTGTCCCCTCAGTCTTCCCAGCTGCTCAAACACAACGTGTCTTTATGCAAATGAGAAAAAGGTGTCCTTTCCTCTGGCCAGTTTGGTGACCAAAGCAAAATCTAACCTGCACCACTTCCATGGTGGTTGCTCCCAGAAGAGTGCTGGGACCATAGCAAGTGCTCGGCAAGTATGGTGACCTAAGGAGTGAGCCAGCCTCAACAGTTGTGAGAGCCGCCCTTCAGGGCTGTTACATGGCAGGAGAGGCCACACTGTGAGCGTCGAACATGCTCTCCATGAGCGAGAGAAGAGAACAGAGAAGCTACCCGGGGCTAGGAAGCGGAGAAAAGCATTTCTGAGACCCCTCTCCACTTCTTTGCTTAATGACCGCATTAGTAACTGCCAAAGAGTGAACACTTTGAAGGATCTCGCTCATTACAGTGGCTCCAAACTCTGCATTTAAAGATGGTGAATTAATTTTTTTAATGTACTACTTCTCTCCTTTCCTTCCCTCCATCCCTCCTTCCTGTTCTGGCAGGGAATTGTTTATGGGATGTGGCAGATTGTTACAAATGGGGGAGAGGAACATTTCCAAATTCCATGAGGGAAACAGCTCACAGATGCTGGAGGGGGTGGGGAAGAAACAGGTTTGTCAAAATCCAGATATCCAGATGGGCTTGCAGGCAGGAAGGAGGGGGGGGAGTGGGAGGAATGAAACCACCCAGATGTGCTGGGGAATGGATCTCCCAGCTCATGAGCCTGAGTGGGGAGGAGCCCAAGAACCTGAGATTGGTGGGGTCTCTCTTGCCTCTGGCTTCCCATGCCCCTCCCCACCTCCCTGGCCAGCCTGGAGTCTTCATCCTCCAACAACACTCCAGATCCTTCAGTCCTGCCACTTCACTATGGGTTTCTCTGGCCTCTTGTCTAGGCAGGGAGGGTTAGATCAGATCTGACCCTCAGATCTGAGGGATCTGAGCACTGGGATCAGATCAGAGACAACTCCAAGGCCAAAGTCAGGAAATTCTCCTCTATTTCTGGCTAGCATAGTGACCTTGCACTCAGCTGCTGGTGGAACTTTCATCGTCTGTGGATGTCTGGGCCTCACTCCAGACACTGAAATCAGAATCTCTGGGCTTCTTTGATTTCACAAAGTCACCCAGAAGTTACTGATGAGCAACTAGAGGAGAGAGCACTACTTTGCCCCCCAAGGTGACTTCCTCTGTCCTGGTTCGGCCAAACTCCTTGCCAGCTCCTCCCCGGGCCAGGCAGGCCCATTGGTCTCTGCGCCTCCAGGGCAGTCCCTTCCACAGAAGTGTGTTCCTTGTTCATCCTCACCTCTCTAATGCCTATGTATCTGTTAAAGTAGATATGGGCCTCCTCCTTGGGAAGCTCTCTCGGGCTTCTTCAGCCTACAGAACTCTCCCTTCATTTGAATACTTTAGCATCACAAGGCAGAGAACTTTCACTCTCAAGGACACTCTGTTCTGCCTTATTGTCTCAGTATGCTTTCCATGTATACTGTATTCCTGGCTGACTTTGACCTCTAGGGGATAGGCCCCTGTCCTGTTCTCCTTCTGGGGCCCCCTTTCCTCTGGCACAGATGACTGGGTGCTTACAAGTCCTGGTGGGGACTCTGTAACCTGACCATCTGCCCTACGGGAAGGAGGACAGTATCTTCATATCTCATATTGCCCCTTGCCAGTCTACTCTAGGGCTTTAGGCCCAGCTCTCCTGCTCTCCTGTCAGTCCACCTTCAAAACTAGACAGCAGCTGCTTCAAGTCAGCTGGGCACTCTCACCACAACAGAAATGCTAAGTTCTAGAGGAACAAAGTTTATCAGGAGCAGGCCTTCTGGATCTTGTGTGCTGCAATTTATGCGGGAAGCACTGGGGTGCTAGCCAAGGTTCTGATTCCCTGTCCAGCGTGCTGACCATGGTTGTGTACAGATCCAGGGAGCCAAGGGGTATGTAGAGGCCAAATGGTCAGTTTATATGTCTTTGCTACCTTCTTATTAGAACTTTTTCTTCCTTAACACTAAGAATCTTAGCATCTATCTCCTCACTTCCTATGGGTCAAATTCACTCTCAATTAATTTGCAGTTACTAGCCTCTCAACCTGGTTGTACAACTGTATCTATTCTCTTCTCTGTCCTGACAGAGTTCCATGAGCTTCTTTCTCACCCTCAGACTGGCACCTCTCCAAGAAGGAGAATTTGGTCTCTTCTTCCCAATCCGGGGCTCCCTGAAGGAGGGCAGGAGGCTAGCTCTCTCTGATCACATTTGGGGTTCAACCAAGGAAGAAGCAAAAGGTAGGAGCCACATATTCCCTGTTACACCACCAAGGGCAGAGACGGAATGGACAAGGAATGTGCTGCATGGGAAAGGAAGGGATACGCTTACCTGGGTAGGGGTGGATGCCGTTAGCAAACACAGCTTCCGCAGCAGGTTGCCCGTTGGCCTGTGGGGGGAGGCCGGTGAAGCCGTTCACCCCAATGGGGGACGGGATGCTAGGCACAGCTGGTGCAGTGATGCCCGGAGGGGTGCTGCCACCTGGTTCCAGAGGTGGAGAGGGGTGGAGGAGGAAGGGAGGCAAGTGGAACCAAGGTGAGGAAGGCCAACCCATGGAGCTCCACCTGTTGGCTCCAAGGGCCTGGGAATAGACCTAGACTTTACCTACCAACTCAGACCTATCTGGGAATCATGCCTTGGGTTATTTTCCTGCATGGTGACACCACTCATCCCAACTGTATCCATCCTTCAAGGCAGAGCCTACCCCATAAAGACTTCTGTGACCAGTGACTACAACATGATCTTGGACCTGCAGCACATAAACTATTCTCAGTGTCCTTGAATTTGGTCACCCTTAATTTTCCTTTCATCTTTCTCAGTGGTTGTTGCTCACCTCCAGCTAAGGCAGGATGGGTTGGTCATTGTATAGCCAGTAAGGGACTTCTAAGTTGATGGCTTTGCTCTCTTGTCTGCATTATAAAAGGGGCTGATCTACCTCCCCAACAAGGAGTTTTGCTACTCTGGTGGATGAGGTCTTAATTCTGATGCTCCAGGTTGAGAATCACTGAATGGAATACTAACCAAGATCCAGCGAAGAACACGCCTTGTGGGGCGCCTGGGTGGCTCAGGTGGTAAACCTCTGTCTTCGGCTCAAACAAAGGGGGATCAAGCCCCACATTGGGCTCCCTTCTCAGTGGGGAGTCTTCTTGTCCCTCTTCCCTTTCTTCTTGTCCCTCTCCCTTTACCCCCTCACCCCAAGCTCAGGCTCTTTCTCGCTTGCTCCCTGTCTCTCAAAAAATAAAATCTTTAAGAAAATTTTTTTTTAATAAGACAAATTTAAAAAATAAAGAACATGACTTGAGAAAGGGGTTATTTCCAAGCCCCCTGTCTTTTAATAACTCCTGAGATCCTCTCTTGCTTATTGTGCAGTTGCCCTGGGAAAAGCCAATGAGTCTAAGTTGGGTTAAAGAAAAATGAAAAAATGGGGCTCCTTCTGTGGTTAGGCCTGGAACCTCACAAGGTCACAGAATGGGCAGGACTCTTTACCCCTCAGAACTCCAAAGGAGGTGTTTTCATGTGAATTTCTTTCTAGAGATCTATAAAAGAGACCAAGATGTACTGCTTCCTGACATGGCTCCATCACAGGAGTGAAACTGTCAACACCCTGAAATCATGTCGGACAACATGCGGTCCACATCCCATCTTCCCCTAGATGCCCAGGGATTAGAACATTCTCAAGAAAAAGTTCTATAGGATGAGGCCTGCTCAGGCCCCTGCATGTGTGCTCTTGCCATAGAAAGCTCCCCTGGTCGGCAAAACTGGCCGATCAGTAGGTCCCACCCTGAGCCCAGCTGCCTCCTTGCCCGGCCAGGCACTGGGTCCATCCCCATCTGCTCACCTGAGGTTGGGGTCATGGGTGCGGCCGCCAGGCCATTCATGTTGAGGGCCGCCATCTGCTGCATCTGGGCGGCGGCGAAGGCAGCCATGGGGTTCAGGTAGCCGCCCTGCGCGACTGATGCCATTAGTGCCGCCTGCTGCTGCATCAGCTGGGGCAGAGGAAGTGGAAAAAATATCATGCGCTTCCAGGGGGGGGCAGCCCTCCCCACCAGGGGGGCTCAGCGCCCCTGGGATCAGCCTCCAGGGGTGCTCTGAACCCCAGGGAGCTTGGCTCTATCTCCCCACCCCGCCCTGCCTGAGAGAACCATATTCATAAGTCATGGCAGGGCCTCAGGGACTTGAAAGTTTTGGGGGGGGAGTAGACTGGTTCCACGGGTGCTGCTCAGGCCTGTCAAAGGGCTTTCATCTGTGGAGACGTGAAAGCCAAAGTTCTAGAGATATGGTAGATGAGTCTGCGGAACTAACTTGGCATGGATTTGTTGAAAATGGTCCTCACCTGGAGTCTGCGGCCGAAGCAACAGAAGGACATGACCAGAACTCTAGGTATCCCCAGTGTTCTCAGAAAGGTGAGTGGGGACTGGGTAGTTTGTGGACATGGCCAAGTTTGGACACTGCTGAGGAAGTGAAGTGAGCTGACCTCTTTAGAACAGGAAACCTGGCCTACCTCAGTGCCACTCACGTGGGGCTGTGGTTACAAGTCTGGGGTGGGGGGTGTCGGGGGCAGCTCGGGGGAGATGAGGACAGAGGCAGCTCCAGTGTGGAAGAAGAAGTGGATGGCCAACAGCATGAGGCAGGGTCCGGGGGGACCTCAGGGGAAGTGCAGCTGTGGAACACCCCTGCCAGGAGGGCCCAGAGGCCTGAGGAGCCCCTTTGGTGAGTGAAGGCAGGAGTAGAGGGGTGACAAGCAAACACCTGAGCCTCCCTCACTGCTTGGGAGGGATGCCTCCTAGGGTCTGAGTTCATGAGTGCTGAGCTAACCCCCCCCCTTGCTGCCAGAGGCCTTCTCTCTAGCTGCTATCCTGAAGAGCCAGGACAGAAACCCCCTCCTCCTGGCAGCCACCCTGCATCAGCCTAACCTTGTCTTAGCCCCCTTTGGCCTCCGGTCCCTGGGTTCATTCCTCACCACTCCTCATTGCCCCAGGGCAGCAGAATATTCTGGGCCAGGAGCAGGGCTCCCCTCAGTGCTGTTAGCTATCCTTGCTCTTTGGGGCTCTGAGCAAAGTGAGCTAGAGAACAGCTGCCCCCCACCCCCGCCCCGCTGCGGCCCCACTTACTGCCTGTGCGTAGGCGCCGTAGGCCCCGAACGGGATGGCCATGGGGTTGAACATGCCCATCTGGCCAGCCATCTGCTGCATCCGCCGCATCGTGCGCTCCTTGTCAGTGTCGGCAAACTTGACCACCAGACTGGACGAGGCTCCCTGCAGCCATTATTGCGCGTGAGGCCCCCTTGCCGCAGCTGCCTCCTCTCCCAACTGTCCCTGCCCTCAGCCTGGACCCACTCGATCCTCTCCAGGGGGGATGGGGACAGGGGGTAACGGAAGGCTCGCTCCCGCGCTTGCACTGGGCCCCGGGTTTGGGATCTTAACCCCACCGCGGGCGGTTTTTATCTAGGGGCAGTCCAGTTCCTTAACATCTCTGGGCCTCGGAGTCCTTGTCTGAGAAACAGGTATACTGATAATGCCTTCCGGCCTCTTGGGAAGGCTGTGAGCTCCTCACGGTTGGCACGGTTTGGCACGATGTGCGGGGGCGGGGGGTGGGTGGGAGGTAAAGGTAGGCGGGGCTCTGCGGGACTCCCGGCCCCTGTGGGCCTCTGCCCCCTCCCCTGCCCCGGGGGTGGGGGAGGGGGGGCCACTCACCGGCATAGTCTGGCTGCCGTGCAGGGCGTTGATTGCGGCTTGCGCCTCGGCGTGGGAGGAGTACTTCACAAAGGCGCACCCTGGGGGGACGGGAGAGGCTGAGCCAGGGCTCGAGGGCCCCCAGGAAGGCCAGAGAAGCGCTACAGGGCTGAGAGGCGGGGCACCGGAGGGGCGGAGGGAAGAGGGCGCATCCCAGATGAAGGCAGAATGGGTGACCCACAGAGACTGAGAAGAGAAACACCGAGAAACACAGAGACACAGAAAGACCTGGAAGGGCCGGAGAGTTAAAAGACCCCGGAAGTCTCCCTGCCCCTGTCTGGACTCGGCTAGAGGCCTTCCCTTCCCGGGGCCGACCGCCTCGCCCCTTCCAAGCACGCTTCCCTGGCTCGCTGTTCGCTGGTCCCGTCCGTCGCCACCAGCTGGGGGCGGCCCGGCACAAGGCTGGCGGTCGGTGAGGTGCAAAGCCCGAGGCCTCGCCCGCCCGCTCCCCCGCCCCGCCCCCACGCACCCTTGCTGTTGCCATCCGGCCCGCGCAGGATGGTACACTCTTCAATGTTCCCGAAGGCCTCGAAGAGGCGACGCACGTCGTCCTCGGACTGCTGCTTGTTGAGCATGCCCACGAAGAGTTTTCTATCTTCTGGAACAAAATTAGGAGATGCTTACCTGGGCCGGGGGAGCCGGGCTGCACTGGGGCGTGCCCGGGGGTAAGACAGCGCGACCGAAGAGGAAGGGGGAGGGGGGATAGGGTAGAGCTGGGCAGGGGAGAGGGCTCATTGCTGGAGGGGAGGGGGGCGGCTAGGACGTAGCTAGAGCAGGATGGGCCACAGGGTGAGGGGGTTGGGGGAGAGGGAGAGCATAGCCAGAGGAGGAGGTGAGGAAGGAGGGGTTGGGTCAAGGATGCTGGATGGCAGCGACTGTGCCCCCTCCCGTCCAGAGGGAGCAAGGCCACTGGTGCGGCTGCTCACCTATGGCACATGGGTGGCCCAGGAGTGGCACATGGGTCGTTTGGGCAACTCTGCATTCCCTTCCAACATCCTCTTAGACACACACTACCTTCTTGAGCCACTTTCACCCCTAGAGGCCAAAATTAACTCACAACAGGCAAGTCTGCCGCAGGGCCTTTGCATAGGCTGTTCCCTCTGCCCAAAGTGCTTCCCACATCACAAGGCTGAATTCTCTTCTTCTAGGTCTCAGTTTAAATATTGCTTCCTCATCAAGGTCCCTCCTTCCTGCTGTCTTTTATTCTCTGTCTCAGCTTCTCCCTCTCATGGCCCAGGTTTCAAAGGACAATTATTTACTGCCTTGCCTGTGTCCCTGGTTTCTGTCTAGCTCCCAAGCCCCACTGCACGTCCTCTCCTTGGGGGAAGAGACCAGCCATTGGCTGGAACAGCAGTACCTGGCACAGAGTGAGCCCTCAGCACAAAGTTACGGAGTAGATGAATGAATGCGTGTGCCATTCCCAGGGTCACCCTTTCTTCCTATCTCACATTGTTTTGACCTCCATTTGTTGTCCCTTCTTTGGTCTGGCCCTTCCTATTTCATGCTGCAAAATTTAGCCCTGGACACTTTGTGGGGGGGGGGGGGGGCTGCTCCTAAAGGCTGGGATCCCTCACCAGCCCCTCCCCCCCTTGTGTTGATTCCTAGGTGGTTTGTTGACACCACCTGTACTGGCCTTGTGCTTAGGGCAGCAGGGACCACGCTGGGCTACGGGCATCTGCTGCAGGGTGTAGCTGCCAGATTTCCCATCCCACAAGTTTAGGGCAGTGTGCCCTCAACTCCTCCCACTGAGGTGGGGGCTGTGCTCCCTCCCCTGGAATCTGGGCGGGGCTGTGACTGCTCAATAGGCAATGGCAGAGGTGAGGCCCGCTGATTTCCAGGCTAGATCATAAAAGGGATCTACTTCTATGTGGCTGCCTTGAGGATGCTTTCTCTATGGACGCTAGCCACCCTGCCATGAAGGGCTTACAACTAACCTGCAGTGTGTCCCCATGGAAAGGAACCCAGGCCCCCAGCTGACAGCCCAATCAACCACCAGACATGGGATGAATGAGTCTGCAGATGATTCCAGACCCCAGCCTGAGTCTTCCAGCTGACGCCCAGACATTCCGGAGCAGAGATAAGCCTTCCACACTGTGCCTGCAGGATCCCTGAGCAGAACAAATGGTTGTTTTACTCAGTTTGGGGCAAAATTGTTTTGCAGCCACAGCACTCCCCATGGCCAGGGGAGTTCACAGAGCTGAGGGGCTGTCCTGGGGTCTGGAGCAGAGCAGAGGAAACCAACAGGTGCCTGCACTGCTGCACAGACCACCCCAGAGTCCTCCTCTTCAGGAAGACCTGACCTCTGCCCTGCCAGTACCCTTTAGCCCAGAGCACCCAGCACTGGGCACCTTCTCAATGACAGGGTCCCAGCGCCTTCCATGCCCAGCAGGGCATCATTGCCAGCTCCCGCTACCAGTCCTGGACTGGGCATACCACATTGCCCTTCACTGGTAGTGGGCTTCAGCCAAAGCTCTGGGGCCTGGAACCCCAGCCCTGCCACCTGCCTTTGCCTGGGCTGCTTGACCCGGCTTCCGGGGCCATCCCAGGGCCCATCCCTGGCCCCATCTTCAGGACTCTGGGACTCCAAACTCTGGGCTGGGAAACCAAGAGGTAGGAAGAAGAGAGAGAGAGAGAGTGAAGCTGTGAAGTGAAGAGAGCTGGGGGAAGATAGGGTTAGGGACAGAAGGAGAAGGAACATGGCAAAAATGGAGAGAAAAGAATCAGAAACAGACAAAAAGGGGCACCTGGGTGGCTCAGTAGGTTAAGCAGCTGCCTTCGGCTCAGGCCATGATCTCGGGGTCCTGGGGTCGAGCTCTATATCATGCTCCCCGCTCAAGGGAGCATCTTCTCTCTCTCCCTCTGCCCCCTCCCCCACTCATGCTCTAGCTCTCAAATAAATAAAATCTTTAAAAAGAGAGAGAGAGAAGAAGAAGAAGAAACAGAGAGCAGAGATGGGCAGAGGAGAGGGCAGAAAGAGAGGAGAGCCGGGTCAGGGACTCTGTTGAGCTTCCAGAAGCAGCAGCCTCATTCTGCAGGAAGTGGACAGAGCTTTTCAAGCCTTCGGTGGAGTCCTGAGACATTGCAACTGTGGACTCCAGGCCAGCCTAGGGCTTCCCCTCGCCCCCAGCACCTTTTAAAGACTCCCTATTAAATGGGATTTCCAGAAAGACAATGAAGTGAAACCCCCTGCCTCCAGCTAATCCCTGGCCCTCCTGCTTAGAAATTCCTGCTCCTCCCTGGGCATGGGAAGGGAGAGGGAAGAGTAGGCCCCTCCTCCACCTGAGCCTAATTTAAATGCTGGGACGCAGCCCCTCGCCTTCTCCTCTCTCCTGACTTAGGAATGTATTCCTTTATTATCATTATGACAGCCTTTTGATTGCATTAAAATTCATCCACACGTGCCTTTCTATCCAGCCACTTTCCTTTTGCCAGTTTTTTTTTTCCCCCTAATTTTTTCTTCCTCTCCCCTGAAATCTTGCCTTCCTTACAGTTCTTCAGTCTAGACCAGGGCCCGTCCTTCTGGAGGCCCTTCCTTCCAAACTTGCAGGGAGCCAGGCTCCTCCTTTCCCTGATCACCCAGATTTCTCCAGGGAAACTGCAGCTAGCCTTGCCTTTCTGGAAGACTGAAAGAAACCAAAGAAACCTGCTCCATCCTTACTCCCCTAGGGATCCTCCTGTGACCCCACCCCCACTCAAATGGTGGTAATTTCCAGGATCCACAAACATACCCCGTTTGCCCACTTTTCATTCCTGCTGGGCTTTGGTGTGATTCTAATGATTCTCTTTCAGACCAGGGGCTGGAAGGATTCTGAGTCCAAGGGTGGATCTCCTTCGGGCCCAGGCCCTCAGGCTAAACCCCAGCTCCCCTCCTTGCAGCCATATAACTGCTTCCCACCAGGGTCTTTAGGTCTACAAACGGGAATCGGGAATCGTCAGTCGTGCCTTGGGTGGTAGATGCTAGGTTTGTAAGAGATGCTACAGGGACAGGACCTGTTGAGCAGGTCGACAATGAGGGCCATTACTCAGGGTTCTCTATCTAGGAGGAAGAGGAAATGGAGTGCCACCCCCCTCCTTCATTTGCCCTACCCTGATTTATTCCTGCAGCAGGAAGGAGAGAGGCAGAGCTGACGTCCCTCAGACAGCGCATCTGCAATAGGCCGCTTCTGAACAAGGCAAAGGCCACTGGGGCTGCCCTACAGTGGCCCCAGAACAAGTGTGCCATCCCCCAAGGGAACAAGGCCTTGGAGTGGCAGAGCGGGACCAGGCCCTGGAGAACGTGAGAGGTCCTGCCTCTTTGCAGATGAGGAATTTGGAGCACAGAGGTTGCTCCAAAACACACAGCTGCTGCCTCCCGGGGTCTCTTGACTTCCTAATCCTATAACCCCTTGCTCCTGCCTCCCTGCTCTTTCTAAAATGTGAGTGCCTGTGTCTGTGGGGGTGGGAAGCACCTGGGGTTCGAAGGGAGCAGGACTGCGACACCCCGGAAGGGTTGGGCAACAGAAGGTAGGCACTAGGCCTGGGCCCTGCCTGAACCCAGAGAGGGCAGCTCAGCACTCTGTGCCCTGTGTCCTCCCACCAGTGCCAGGGACTGCGTGGTCTACAGCAACCCCAGATAACGCATGGGTAAAGTATGCAGTTCTGGGTCGAGAGAAGGTGTTCATGGCTATCTTAGAGCAGGGCCTGGATCAGAGCCCCTGGCGTCCATCTTGGGTCCACCCTCCGGTGCCTCCTTCGGCAAGCACTTACTGAGCACCTACTGTGAGAGAGACAGCCAGGAAATAGCTCTGGACTGGGCACTAGCGGGACCAATAGTGGAGGTGGGGAGTGTTTAGATGCTGAAGGCTTCCAGGAGGAAAGCGGGGCTGGAGCTATGTTGTCCAGAGGACAGGTGGGGGTGGGTGGCGGGGGGCTCCAGGCTCACAACAGAATTTGAACAAAGTCTCAGAGTTGGGAGGGATCCCTAAGGTTGCTCCTGTCATCCACCCCTGGGGTCCCTGCGTGCCACAGGGCTTGCAATGGGGGGACCTGCTCAAGTTCGATTTTGCCTTTCCAGCAGCCTCGTGCCTCTCCCTCCACCAACACACACCTCTCCCGTTCCTCTGGCCTCAGGAGACTTTTTTATTCTCCTAGAACCTCAGTCTAATTAAACATCAGTTTCCCAACCTCTAAAGAGCACTGGGTGCCAGGCCCCAGGAGCCATACAGAGGTGGAAAGGTGCTTTTGAAAAGGCAGTGGCATCTGGTTGCCAGAATCTTGGGTTTTTTCCAATCCCTGAGAGAGAGAGACTCCTGCACTCCTTCACTCTGGACCTCAGGGCAGAATGGGGCCAGGGTTGGAAGGATTTGCATTGTCAAAGGAGGGCCCAGAAAACACTGAAGCCAGATAACCCCAAGGCAGGTTCAGGACCCGCCCCTACACAGGCTGTCTCAGGATGGTGCCTGGAGGGTGGGGGGAAGGGCAGACGTGCAGGGAGCTTCTCGAGGGCCCTGCAGGGGGAGTGGGGCCCTGAGTCGGGTGGAGGTGGATGGCGGCAGGGCCCCTTGGCTTGCCAAATGGCAGCGCCCTAGCGCTAATGCTCGAATTCCAGTTTAATTTCCA